GTTCCCCATAGCGACCCCTAGAGGACGCAGTGTCTCGTTCCCTACTCAGGGAACCATGGTTACATAAGTAACCTCAGACGTTTTTTCCCAACTGCTTGCACATATTTTAAAAACTTTACTTTTTTTTTTAATAACTTTACACACAAATCCAAAAATTGCACACAAAATGCCTCGCATCTCTTGCAAAATGAAGCACTGCATTCAAAATATCACAAACACATCTCAAAAGCAAACATTTGATTTTACATAATATTACAGTAATTCCTGTTAGATTTGTGTGTGTTACATAGAGAACTGTGTGTTGTGTTTTGCAAAAAGTGTTTTATGAAATTGAAAACTGAGTCAAAGGCTGAGAATTAGTGAATGGTTTTGTAGATTTGGTGTGTGCTTTTGCTGTTTGAGTGTCAGCTTTTATAAATTGTGTGACACGTAAAGATTTTGTGTAACAGTTGAAAAAACTGTAATATTACGCCAAAGGTGTTTGCAAATGTTTGCTTTTGAGATGATATTTTGAACGCAGTGCTTCAGTTTGCAAGAGATGTGAGGCGTTTTGTATTTTGCGTGTGCAGGATTTGTGTGTGAAGTTTTGAAAAAAAGAGGCAAAGTTTTGAAAATGTGTGTAAGCTGTTGAATAAAACTGTGAGATAAAGACACAGTTGAAAGCAGACGAGTGGTTGGACGGCTCGTATCTTATCTTATCAAAGTACAGGCTGATGTTGAAATATTGTGTCCAGCCAGCGCTTTGGTCAAGCTGAACTGAAGCAAGCTGTGAGTGAGGATAAGTGCGGTGTGTTGGGCCGATCCGGAGCACATGTAGAAGACGCTACGTCACTGGAGCGCTGCAGGCTTTGTGTGCAGGGTGAGGAATGTTGGCTTCACTGAGAGAACATGCAGTTCTTTCCGACTGAGCGCAGCACAACATCACTGCATTACTGCGCTGACTAACACACCGATAACAGCTTTACTGCCTCTCTGCTGATCAACAAACATTAACTCCCAATAAAGTGCTCCAGGATTCATTCACATTCATCAGATCAGTTTCATTCATACTATTATAGCTTTGGTTAATATTCTGAATTAGATTTTAGTTTATGTTAGTTTATGTTTTCTGCTTTCAGGTCAATTTTAGTTTGAATAATTTTGTTGTGTTTGTAATTTTTATTAGTCTATATGCTTTTTAGTCATTTTTATTGCAATTTTAGTTTTAGTACATCAAATTAAACTAGGGCTGCAAAACTATTAATCGCGATTAATCGCATCCAAAATAAAAGTTTGTTTACATACGATATGTGTGTGTACTGTGTGTATTTATTTTGTTTATATAAACACACACACACACATACATGTATATATTAAGGAAAAATATGTTAGATAAAATATTTAAATGCATATATAATATAAATTATATACAAGTATAAATATATATACACATATAAATATTTTTAAATATATATACATACATGTGTATTTATATATACTAATGCTGTCAAATGATTAATCGCGATTAATCGCATCCAAAATAAACGTTTTTGTTTATGTAATATATGTGTGTGAACTGTGTATATATAAATACAAACACATGCATGTATATACTTCAGAAAAATATGTTATATTTCTATATTAAATATATTTCTATATAATATAAATTATACAAATATTAACTACTGAGTGGAGTGCGGAGCAAGGAACGGAGGGAGACGAGCAGTACATCAATCCAGAGAATTTTAATTACATCAAGGAAACACAGAAAACTCACGTAGCACAGGTTGACATGAACAATACCGGACACTGAATTAAAAACAGGGAACACTATTTAAACACATGACAAGACGAGGGGATGACGAGACAAACTTGGGATCAATGGAAATAAACGGGGAACACCTGGAATTAAATCAACATAATCAGGACAGGAACCGGAACCAGAAACTAACCAAATATGGGCATAAACACTGGGACACAGGGAGCACATGGGGAACAAAACACAACACAGGCCTGACAATATATACATGTAAATACTTTCAAAATATACCCTTTATGTGTATTTATATATACATAATAAATATACACAGTACACACATATATAGTATGTAAACATAAACTTTTATTTTGAATACGATTAATCGCAATTAATCGTTTTGCAGCCCTAAATTAAACTAAATGAAAATGAGAAATTATGTTATTTTATGTTATGTTATTTATTTCAGCTAGAAGTTAACTAGCTGAAATAAAATACGTTTAGGTTTTTAATATTTTATTTGATTTCAGTTAACATCCATTTCATTTCAAGTAACTGATTTTTTTTTGGTTTTGGTTTTAGTATAAGTTTGCTATAATAATATGCCTGTGTTGGAGGTTAATTTCTTTAATTTGCATTCACGTGTTAAATGTTTCCATCCAGATTTTCAAATTTAACTTGCGTGGGAAATGAATATTTTGGCAGAAAACATTTGTAAAATAAGCATAATTTTCATCCCATGTTTTCAATCGAACAAAATGGTCACTTTCTGGGAAACCACCTCAAAGAATCAATAACAAAAATGAAAGTTATGGCTCTTTTTTCCTCACATAATAAATTACTTGCTCCAGACGAAACACAGTAACAAACGCTGACATGTTCTCTTGCGTTCAGATGCCTGATGTTTGGTAACGTGATCTTTGAAACAGCTCTGGGAGCTAATCATACTAAATCTTTTAAACTTTAGTTTAGGGACCAACTCTCAATTGCTTATTAGCATGCCAATTATTAACATATTGGCTATTTATTAGTACTTATAAAGCACATATTCTGCATGACCCTATTCTACATCCCCAATCCTACCCAATACCTAAAATTACCAACTAACTATTAATAAATTAGGAGTTTATTAATGCAAAAGTCGTAGTTAATGGTTTGTTAATGGCGAGAACTGGACCTTAAAATAAAGTGTGACCAGTTTTGCTCAAGTATTTCAGAACTATTAAAACAAAGTTTGAGATGCTGTGCAGTGGGATCGGTCGCTGGTTATTATATGATCTGTTCATGAGCTTCCATCGTAGTTTATTGACGAGTTTCAATTGTAGTTTATCCATTTAGTTCATGCACATTTTCTTATTAGCTAAAATTAAATATCCACCTCAGCTGAGTGTATACGTTTTTAATGAGCATTTTAAGATTTTACGCACATCTTGGCATTTCCATCCAGCATTTTTCTATGCAGTATTCCAAACTTTGCATGAAAATACATGGATGCCCTAGTAAAAAAGTAATATATTTAAAATACATTTAATTCATACTAAGTATACTTAAAATCTTTTAACATATTTACTGACATACCACTCTAGACTTTAAATTACAATGAAACTTTATTTTGAGTACTTGTGCACAATGCACATTTCTTAATATTAAACCTAAAATGTTTTGCATCACTATTGATGAGAATCTTTGAATAATATCAGTCTTTGAATGCAAGATATTTAAAGTGTACCTGAAGTATACTTGCAATAGTTGCACTTTAGCACAAACAAATGTAATTAAGTATATCTTTAATTGGACTTCAGCACTACTTCAACAATTAAAGTGCATTAAGTACAAAATTCGGGACCAATATAATGTAATTTAATGGAAAACTATGTTAATGGCGCTCTGTTCCGCGGCAGGATTTTCTGTCGGCTGCATTTAAATGAAGTTTCCTGCCCTGTGCAGCGCGCAGTGTCACGTGTCAAAACAAACAACACGTGCTGTCAGTGATTTCTGCCTCTAGAGGTCGCTCTCGTACTGTATAATGGCAGCGGACCCTTCTCAGTCACTCCAGCAACGGAAACCTATCGGCATGGATTTTTGCAGATAACCGATAGTTCCGCCAATCAACTATCAGTGCCGATTAATCGGTAAAACCGATGAATCGGTCGACCTCTAACTGAGACAGATCTATTTTCAGACCTACTGATCTAATATAACATTGCACATCAGATTTTTACCCAACCATTAACTAACATTCTTGTAAAACATAACAGATTATGTTTGTGTGAATATCGCCAAGACATATTTTGCAATAATGTACTTTATAAGGGAGATCGCGCGTCTTATGCATGTGCTTTGCAAATGTCAGTCAGCGCAATTGTTTTGTTTTCATCAGCATGGGTTTGAAAATTATATTTCACTGGTTTGGACTCATGTCATCGAGAATTCGATATGAATATTCACAAAGCTGGAACTTGAGAAGCAGGTACTCCTCTCAGAAAACGTACAAATAAAGATGATTTTAGATGTTTAATTACTATTTGAAGCATTGGGATCTCTAGAAGAGGGCTTAATGAACTCATTTTTGTGAAAACCTCAAATTTGACTTCAAATTCACTTCTTTTGCCTGTAGCTCAGAATTAGACCGTGCACATTCACACTCATTCTGCCAGCACTGCTCACATATGTATTTCAGATATGTTTGTCCCTGCAGCACAAAAGCAATCATAAGCAGCACAGGTATATTTGTAGCAATAGCCAACAATACATTGTATGGGTCAAAATTATCCATTTCTCTTTTATGCCAAAAATCATTAGGATATTAAGTAAAGATCATTTTCCATGAAGATATTTTGTAAATTTCCTACCGTAAATATATCAAAACTTAATTTTTGATTAGTAATATGCATTGCTAAGAACTTCATTTGGACAACTTTAAAGATGATTTTCTCAATATTTAGATTTTTTTGCACCCTCAGATTCCAGATTTTCAAATAGTTGTATCTCAGACAAATATTGTCCTATGCTAACAAACCATACATCAATGGAAAGATTATTTATTCAGCTTTCAGATCTAAAATGTACCCTTATGACTGCTTTTTTGTGGTCCGGGGCCACATATTTAAGTATATTTATTTTTCACTGCAGAGCGTGAAGATGACTTACATACGGCGTCCTCTCGCCGAACTTGCTCCAGAAGGTCATCTTGACGCTGTTGTGGTGTCCGGTGCGCTGGTCAAACGTCCGGCACGTCTGGAAGGGCGGGCTGTAGAGGTGCAGAGAGACGGCCGTCTCCGTGTGGCTCACGTTCTCCACTCGATGAAGCCCGAGGGAGTCTGAAACACACCGAGCCCATCATCAGACTCTTCTGATCACATAGTCATCCCCACTCCGTCGTGTCTCACTCATCTCTCACCATTGATGTAGGCACACTGGTTCTCCAGCAGCACCCGCTGGGACTTCTGCAGCATGCCCCCCTGCAGCGTGCGGTC